ACGTCATCGCCTCCGCCGCGCCTTGCCAGGCGGTCCCCTAAGACACCGGGAATGCCGCTGCCGCTGCCGGCACCGCCGCCGCCGTCGTCCTCGGCGATATAATCGCTGCCGGCGGCGGATGATGTTAAGCTGAACGTAACAGCGCCATCGGAGTCACTCTCGTAACCGCCATCTCCGAACATCCAAGACCCAAATCCCACAAGACTCCCGCCGGCGCCACCATCGCCGCTGCCGCCGCCGGAGCTACCTGCCATGGGCTCCTCCCTTCCGCCTCCGCCGCCATCACTGCAGCCCGGCCGTCGGTCGTACACATCCTCCGTAGCACCGGCCGCCGCAACAGCATTCATTCCGCCAGCGGCAGCGCCCACTGCATCGACGGCGGGGCCGGCACCGCCGCTGCCGCCAGCACCCGCAGACGAAGCTGTAGCGTCGCCGCCGCCGCCACCAAAACTTGAAGAACATCCGGCTCCTGTAGCGGCCACCGCCGCCGCATCATCAGCAGCTGCCGATAGCGCTGCAGAGGCCGGTCCTCTTTCCCCGCCAACACCTCCTTCCCTGAGCCCTCCAGGAAACGGACAAAGGAGTGGACGCCACACGTTTCCACCGCCGCCGTCGCCGCCGCCGCCGCAGCCCAGTGCCAGAACTGGACCACCAGAACCTGCCAGCCCTGGCGGCGGAAGCGGCGCCCGCCGCCGCCAGTCCTTCTTGCTGTGCATGCAAGTTGTGGTCCTGCCGGGTCGTGGTCGTATGGTGGAATAGCGGAGGCGATTGAGGCTGTTGCTGTTGTACTTGAAGTTGTTGCTGTTGTACTTGAAGTTGTTGCTGTTGTACTTGGTGTTCTTGATGGAAATGGTGGTGATGCAGGTGCGGTTGGTGATGCAGTGGTGGTAGTTGTCCCAGCGCGGCCCAGGCAGCAGGGTGGTGTTGGTGCTGATGATTATAATGAGTTGCGCTGGGGTTGAACAGGTCATGTGGGTTTGGGAGGGGAGGGTTGTGAGCATGCCACACAGACGCGACACCGGGATGATTCAACCGATAGGCCAACTGATAATCCGCGAGCGCGGACTGGGGTGGCGGCGGGATAGGGTAGGGATGGGGGACAGTACCAGGTGGATGAGCCGGCGGCAGCGGAACCAGCGGAAGCGCTGCCGCCGGCGGCGGCGGCGGCTCCACCGGCGGCAGTGGAAGTGACAGAGCAGGCGGTTGGCCCTGCAGCGCTGCCGCCGCTGCTGCTGGGGGCGGCGGCGGCGGCTGTTGCTGCTGTTGCTGCAGCGGCGGCATTGCAAAACCCAATTGCAACGGCTGTTGCTGCTGCTGCTGTCCTCCTCCAGACCCTGCCGCCGCCGCTGCGGCGGCAGCTGCAATGGCATGATGAAGGCCTAAGCCGCCGACAGGAAATATCAGTGCCGCCGCCGCCGGAGGCGGCGGCGGCACCACCGGCACCACCGGCGGCTCCG